TTCCCTACTTGTATTCATTCAGGATCAGGGAACACCAAAGTACATGCACCATTTATTGACTGTGCCAACTGAATTCACAATGTGGCATTACACTTCCTTCATATTTTGAATCCATTATTTGATACAAACAGCTATCATGCTACCTAACACTTGCTAGCATTATGCTCCTTTCCCCTTTGGGATAGTTTTTAAGTAAATGAAATTACTGAGGGATTTATTTAAATTAAAGATTGAATTTTGTTATACACTTTCATTCAGTTCCCATAGCAACAATTCAAATCACACAATCTGCCTCTAAATTACTTATTGTTATTAGAATTCAATTTCATGTTGCAACTGAATAATGTCAAATAATGGCTTGAAAGGAAAAAAAAAATCCCTACCCCAACTTCTTGGCTATGAGAAGAGCTTTAAGAACACTGAGCTAATTTGAATTTAATTTATGTCTAAGTCTTAAAAAAGCAGCAATTGTGCCTCTACTGTAAACAACAGGAGTGACCTAAATATTTCATGTGAATAAAACTCCTTCCTAGGAAAGACATCCTACTTAAATTATGAATTGATTATAAAGGTTTAAAAATCCAGCTTTATTTTATTTATATTCATGTTATTCCAAAAAGTATTTGACCTTGAAATGAGAACTATGCGAGGTTAAAATGAGAACTCTACAAGGAAGAATAAAGATGGAGGGGGGTTAAATGTACTGAAAAGACTTATTTTAAGATGTTAACCTAACACCATGCTAGGTCTGTATAGTATCGCCCTGTTGCACAATCTCTTATTTTTTCACTTGAAGCACTTTGACCATTATAAACAAGAACATTTCTGAAAAGTAATTATACCACAGGGAGGAAAACGAATCACAAAGGTTGTGCTTTTGTATGAGTGCTTTTTGTCCACTCACATAAATCCCTTGCGTGTTGAAGGGAGTAAATATATATAATGTGGCGACAATTATGATGATGTCATTTATTGACTGGGTATACTCTGTGTCAATCACCGTTTTAAGTGCTAAACTTCTAGTAACTCATTTAATCCTCACATTAAGCTTATGAAGTAGGTAGAATTAATCTTCCCGATAGTTGTAAATATTCGGTCTTATGATTTTTCCAGATCTCTATTTTTCTAGTGAATGATTCCTAAAGTACTTGTCAATCCCCTGCCGAAACAACTCAACAGAAGGATGGGGGGTGGGGGCAGTGTAGAGAAAAACATCTAAAGGTTGACAAAATTAGTAATGGATAACTGTATTTGTTATGTAAATGCTCACATTTTCTCTTCCCTTAGAAGCTGTACTGCCTTAAATGAAACATTTAAAGCCAGAGTCTTCGAACATTGCACAAGAGTAAAGACCCAAGTGTAGACAGATGGCCATTCCTTAAAAATCCACAACCCTCCCTTCCCTAAATCCCTCTACAATGAAGACCAGGGAGTTGTTGGTCCTAGCAATATGCCCTCAACATGCCCTATTTTCTTGCTGTCCTAAATCAGGCTGTACTCATTATCCTCTAGGCTTCTGAATCAGAGCACCCTTTGTGATTTATTTTGAGCATATAATTTGATACAATTAATAACAACATATTTCTATATAAATAAGAACACTTCTTACTTATAATGAGGTTTATCCATGATAAAAAAACCTCCCCTTCAGTCTCCTATAATGAAAATATAACAGATCAGACAGTGAACCTGAGCCTGAAAACATGTGGCAGAGCCATGGGAAAACAGCAACATGTAGCTAAACCTGCAACAATAAAGAATAAGACAAAGAGCATATGCTTTCCTGCTTTTCAAAAAAACACATACCATCGTATAATTGTGAGCCACTTTATGCAAATCTGTACAACCTTGGGCATCAGCAAAAGAACGGATTCCAAGACAGTTGGATGGGTGAAGCTGTTTCATTAAAAACTTACAGCATGCTTCCACAACCTGTGAAAGCTGAAGCAGGCAAGCTGTAGATAACAGGCACTCAATATTATCTTCTTTTAATTCAAGGCGACCTTAATGATAAAGAGAAATTCCATTAACTACAGAATTATATTAACTTCAGTTTATAAACTAATTGGTGTTAAGAATAATAATTCTAAATAAGAACTCATTACATGCATTTCAGACCTAGATGATTTAAGACATTCAGAAAGAAAAAAAGTGCTAACCATAAAATAATTTTTGCCCTTTGTGACTTCTGCTAAAATAAACAAATAGTAACTCATTTTTAAGACTTAAAAGGATGATTTAATTAGTAACATATCTATTATATATAACTCAAATTTTAAATGCAATATTCTAAACACACAGAATTGATCTAATTATTATATTAACACCTAAAAATATCATTCAAAAGCTTAATTATGACAACCGCTTTAAAGGTTCTAATATACAGGTTTTAACTTAAACAGGTATCACCAAGGGTGGTGATTATAATAGAAGAATTAACTGTTAGCTGTGGCTAAAAGCAGAAATCTGAAGTCTAATAAGATAACATAAATCTAAGAGGTTTTAAATTTATATTACCTGTATATGCATACTGAATCAGGGACCATAGTGAATTCGGTTCTACACCTTCCATTTTTATTTCTTCTTGTCTTGCTTCCCTGACATCATTAGTAAACATGGCAGCAAAATAATCTGAGACAGAGGAGAGCACCAATCTGAGGACATATTAGAAGAAAAAAAAATCAATGACCATATTAAAGTTGATGCTCATTATTAAGTGCTACTTCTACACAGTTCTATATTTATAAAATAATTTATGTTGTGAACTGAGACAAAAATTTTTTCCCCAAGAAAGTACACTGCATGCTGAGAATCACATGAAATAAACTCTAAGTGGGATGAAAATAAATAAATAAATACTTCTCTCTCTCTCTCTCTCTCTCTCACCCATAGAAATTGCATGGTACTGGGAAATGCATTTTATTTGCTTTATGCTCTAGTTCCCTAGTTCCTTCCTTTGAATAATAAATTATCATTACTGAAAATTTTCTGCTGAGGTAATGATTTACTCTTTCACTCCTTAAATATTGATTTATAACATCTAGAAAAAAAAAAGCTACAAGGCCACAGCATTAAATTGACTATATATAAAAAAGGGGACGAAATATAAAGGTTGATTTCTGTTTATCACCTGTTTTTTTATTTAATCATACAAGTAGTGAATATATGGAAGACATTTGAGAATGGTTTTAGCAAGTTATTTTTCACTTTCATGATAGTTTAAATTATTATGATATTGTTATAAAGTTATAATATTTTTGTTTCAACACTACAAACTATAATATTTTGTCATAATAATAATTATTCTACATTAGCTATGCCTCTGTCCAGACTTTTCGATAGTCACATATAAGCAAAATAGGTCATACATACACATACATACACATACACATACATACACACACATACACATATATACATATACATACATATATATACACACACACATACACACACACACACACACACACACACACACATATATACATATACATACATATATATACACACACACACATACACACACACACACACACATACACTAGAGGCCCGGTGCAGGAATTTGTGCACAGGTGGGGTCCCTCGGCCTCGCTGGTGATGGGGGCCGTCTCGCCCAATCCTGATTGGGGTCGATGGGGCTGGCTGAGGAGGGGCTGCGGGAGGGCTCCAGGGCATCCGACCTACCAAAGGCAGACAATGGGGCTCATGCCCCTTAAGGCCAGGCACACATCCGCCAGTGTGCATGCCAACATTCACACGCACGTATCCCCTTCACCAACTGGGGAGGGGCTGCAGGAGGGCTCCAGGGCATTCAGCCCTCTCGCCCTGTCCGATTGGCTGGATCCCAGCAGCAAGCTAATCCACTGGTTGGAGTGGCTGCCTCCTGGTGGTCAGTGCGCATAATATCTGACAGTATTCTTGGACCTTATTAAATTATTATACAATTCTGGTCAAGCGATCAGACACTTAGCATATTATGCTTTTACTAGAGGCCTGGTGCATGAATTTGTGCACAGAAGGATCCCTAGGCCTGGCCAGCTGGGGCCTTCCTTTATTCCGTGCCGCCCCCTGGTGGTCAGCGTATGTCATAGTGAGTGATCAAATTCCCGGTCTCCTGGTCAAACTCCCGAGGGAACACTTTTCATATTAGCCTTATATATATATAGATTATATAGGATTTTAAACATGCATTTTCATTTGCTAATACGTTTTGAAGATATTTCCATATCAGTACATTTATATAGATTTACTTTATTCATTTTTTTAAAAAAAACACAGAGATTATGATACAATAATAGTTGAAACTGCCTTGGTGTTTCTAATACTATTCTCCTCCCTTCCCAAGAGTGGGTTGCTGAGTCTTAATGTTTGCCAAATTGCTCTAGAAAGTGCTGTGCCAATGTAGAGCCCTACCAGAATTGTATAATAATTTAATAAGGTCCAAGAATACTGTCAGATATTTAAAAATTTTGGCCATCTGTAAGGTATTAAATGGTATTTCATTGTTGTTTAATTCACCTGATTGCTAGTGAGGTTGAAGATCTTTTCAACTGTTTATTGGCCATTTGGTTTTCTTCTTTTGAGAACTGCTATTCATTCCATTTATCCCCCAAACAAATGCTTATGCATGCCTAGTAAGTAATGGGCACTATCTAGATACTTGAAATATTACCAGTGCAAAAAATAGAGAAGACATGCCTCCTCCCACT